ATGTGGAAGAAGGTAATGTTGAAATCAGAGCTACTGCAACATCACCCAATCCTACTACTCGAGTAGAGAATGCCACAAATAATGAGAGACAAAAACAAGAACCGGTTAGAAAAAGGAAGAAGTAAAGATCTAAAGCTTGGAAGAATTTTACAAGGATGCCACTTGAGCAAACGAAAGGGAAGCATCGGGCTAAATGCAACTATTGTGGCATCGATTATATGAGTCATCCTTCTTACCATAGGACTAAAGCACTTTGGCGGCATTTTGAAAAGTGCCCAAAAAAGCCAAACAAAGCTAGCAAGACAACACAGCCTTTATTCTCTGTTACTTCTAGCCAAACAATGTCAACACAATTGTTCAATCAAGAGCGGTGCAGGAAGGATCTTGCAAAATTTATCATAAAAGATGAGATGCCGTTTTGAGTTGTGAAAGGGGAGGGTTTTAAAGATCTATTGCATGGACTTAAGCCTAGATTTCAAATCCCTTCATAATGGATAGTTGCTAGGGATTGTTACAAGCTGTATCTTGAAAAAGCAAGACATATAAAGAAATATTTTCAGAAATCTAAAGTCCGTGTGTCCCTTACCACAGACTGTTGGACTTCAATCCAAAATGGCAACTATATGTGCTTGACTACTCACTGGGTTGATGAGAATTTGACATTATAAAAACAAATTTTGAATTTTTCTATGATTGAAAACCACAAAGGAGATACAATTAGGAAGGAAATTAAGGGATGCTTATTTAGTTGGGGTATTGACAAAGTATTTATCATTACAGTTGATAATGCTTCTTCTAATGACATTACAATTACATATTTAAAAAAACACTTGAAGGAATGGAATGGCCTTGTGTGTGATGGAGAGTATATACATATGCGGTGTGCTACTCACATTTTAAATTTGATTGTTTTTGAAAGATTGAAGAAATGAATAAGTTCATTAAACTTATTCGGCATGCGATAAAGTTTGTTAGATCTTCTCCAGCAAGGTCGTGTAGATTCAAGGAGCTCATGGGAAAGTAAAGAATTGATTTGAAAAGTCTGCTTAGTATGGATTGTCTCACTAGGTAATTTTAATTATTGTTATGAATTGTTAATTAATGTTTATTTTTTTTAATATTAATCAAGCTTTGTTTATATTGTTAGGTGGAATTCAACATACATTATGTTGGAAAATGTTGTGAAGTTCATTAAGGTTTTTGATCAAATGGAGGAAGAGGATGAAGATTACAATAAATACTTCAAAAAGAAAGTTGAAGAAGAATCTCCTAGTCTATATGATTAGGGTGTTGTAAAGGAGTTTATAGTCTTCCTGAAGCTGTTTTACTCCATGACTTTGAAATTTTCTGTATCAAATTTTGTGACATCCAACACATGTTTTTAGCAACTAGTTGCAATGCAAACTAAGCTTAAGACAAGTGCAACTAATTTTAGTGCTCTATTCAATAACATGATGAGGCGGATGCAAAGTAAGTTGGATAAGTATTGGGGTAAGGCAGATAACATGAATCCATTGTTGGTAATAGCAGTGATACTAGACCCGAGATACAAATTTAAGTATGTCCAAGTTGCTTTAGAAAATATGTATTTTGAGCCCATGCAATATGAGCTAGTCACAAAAAATGTCATGGATGTCTTGCATAGCTTATATGAGGAATATTCAAAGGATACCTCTGACAGTGAAGCTTCTCAAACTCAAGCAAGAGCAGAGCACGGAGATGACAATATTAGGGGGAATCAAGAGTCAATTCCCGATGATGATGTCTTGGTAGTCATAGATGATGAAACAATGAGACAGTTCTATACAATTACAAGCACTGAACGCTAAGAGGAAAAAAATTCAGAGGTGGATGAATATCTTCGTGCTGAGTTAGTTGCTTCTTGTAATCCAAAATTTGATGTTTTAGCTTGGTGGAAAGTGAATGCTTTCAAGTATAAAGTCTTGAGTTTGATTGCATGTGATGTTTTGGCTTCACTTGTCTCTATTGTGTCCTCAGAATCTGCCTTTAGTACGGGAGGTCGAGTATTGGATACTTTTAGGAGCTTCTTATCTGCAAAGATGGTTGAGGCACTCATTTGTGGTCAAAGTTGGCTTTCTCAACTTACTTTCAAATTGAAAGAGCTTGATGTTGATAATTTTGATGAGTCTGACAATCTTGTCGTTGGTAATTTCATTAACATTTTTACTTTATATTACTTCATATTATTTAAATATTAATGAATATCATTTTCTTAACTTGTTTTGTAGAGGAAGAATTAGGGGCTCAATGTTCAACCATTTCTAGTGATTCTAAAGATGATGATGATGATAATGATCTAATGCAAGATTAAACATGCGATTGATTGTTTGAAGAACTTTTTCCACTTATTGTTTAGTTGTGTTGTTGCCTTGTGACAAGACTACTTGTTTTGGATTGTTGCGTGTGACTTGTGGCAAGACTATTTGTCAACTTGTGTGGTTGTTTTGATTTGATTAATGTTATGTTTTGAAGATTAATGATGCTTGGATGACTATAATATGTAATTGATAATATTAGAACTTGTTTTCTTTGATGATGGTGATATTTAAATTGTTTTTGGGTAGAATTAAAAGAACTTTAAAGTATGAAATATTTTTTTTCTTTTTTTGGGCAAAAGGGGGCTGTTTGTGCAAAACGGGCTAGTCAACCCGCCCAGCCCGTTTGGATAAAATGGGACGGGCCACAGGCAGCCTTATAGGCTAGCCCATCCCTCTCGTTGCACAGCCTAACTCGCAACTTACATGGTAATGTTAACTAGAGACATTACCCTTAATTACCATGGTAATATGATTTAATTAGTAGGGTGATTGTGTGGGCATTACATAAGTAGTTCAAAAATTACTTCTAGAGACCTTGGTCCTTTTCTAGATTAAGTGTCACAATTTTTTTAAAATAGAAATCACAAAAACGGAAAGTCATAAATACAACTCCCAATTTCAGTAGCTAATTTTAAAGATAGCTGAAAATCCACAAGTTTTTTTAAAATTACAATTCACATGAAAAAAAATTGTCATTATTACTCCCATAATTTAAACGTCAATATAGATTGCTTTACATGGGATGAATAATTTTTCCCAAAAAAAAAATACAAATCATAACAAAGAAATTTATAAATATACACTCTTAAAGTCAGCAATCAATTTCTAGAGATGTTTTAGTCATAACACTTCTTTCATACTTAAAACAACCAAGATCCTCATAAACATTTTTTAAAATTTTAAATCTTTTATTTAGAATTGATTTCATAATCTTATCACTATCTGTAACTTCTTCAAGTTGGTTTAGGACAGAACACCTCAGCAAACATACAATTAGAAATACATATTGGTTAAGATTCAAATAGTTTTTGTTAGCTCAAACTGAGCTTTCAAACCTAAAAAGTAAGGTTAGAACTTGAAGGGGGAAAAATTATGTTTGAATAAATATTGGAGCAAAATGGCTTTTTTGATTTAAAATGGAGGTAAGGAGGAAAGTAAATTTTTAGTAGACCCATTAACAAGGACTAGGCTCTTTGGGCTACTCATCTAGGTCTTTCATTTTATTAGGGTTGGCTAAAAAATGAGATTTTGAATAAAAGGACTTTCAGGCTTTACAAGCCTTTTAAAAATGGCTAAATAGGCACACCCTTTTAGCTCCTGCATTTTTTTTATGCCTTTTTTACTGTAAGCATGTGATTGAAAGGTGCTGAAAATTGTTTAGTTGATGTTGTTGATATTACAAAATAGTATGGTTGAAATTGTTTGATTTATTTTTATTTTTAATTAATATATGAAAATGATATAATTTTTTAAAATATGTGTTCACAAAAGTAAAAATTTAAAGAAAAATTTAAAAAAATTATGGGAGCTATTAGACCCAATATTGTGTTCACATGATCAATTTATAATATTTGAGTTTATGTGCTTGAATCCTTAAGCTTATAAGGATTAGACCCATTCTTATTAATAGCTCTCATTCTTGTTAGTTGCTTAATATTAAGTTGCATTCTCCCCCATTCTCCCCTTATCAACTTCTCTTTGCACTTTGTTATTAAATTTAGTGCCAACTAAGGACAATCAAGGCTAAATAGGAGGGGCTTTAAGGCAAACAAAATGCCTTGCTAGCGGAAAGAATCATGTTAGGCTAGATTAATCAAAGGGGAGGACTAGGTTTGTTTTGTAGTGGCTCTACTTATTGGCAAGAGATCCTACATGATTTTCCAACTCCTCTCCCTTGTTTCTCTTTGGTTTAATTGAGGTGGGGGAATGGTTGGTGAAATCGAAATTTCAAACTCTTGCTATTTTTTACCAGAAGAATGACAGTTCAGTTATAAGGAAATTAATTAATTTAAATAAGTCTCAATCAATTTTAAAATGTTAAAAAAAAAAATCCTTTAATCCTTTGGTGGTATTAAATCTAATAGGAATTTGCAAAGATTTGTAAGTTCAAAGAATACAAATGTTCATATTTAATTTAGAAAAGTATTAAGTTTAATAGTTTTAAAAATTTAATTTGCAAGTTCAATTCTTTATTTTATAAATTCATTATGATGTATTTATAATTTATTTTTTTAATTTTAATAGAGAACATAAATATTCATCTTTAACATTAAAAAGTATTAAATCTAATAGTTCGAAAAACTTATAAGTTAGATTTTTAATTTTATAATTTTATTGTGATAAATTTATAAATTATTTTTTAAATTTTAATAGAAAATATAAATATTTAAATTTAATATTAAAAAATATTAAATATATTATTTATTCTTTGCCTGTTGCTTATTTATTAATAAAATAAATTGATTATCCATTTATTTATTGTTTATTGTTTATTTTTTAATCTTATTAAAATTTAAAAAATAAGTAATAAATATATGATAATAATATTATAAAATTAAGAGTTAAATTTTAATATTTTTTACAATGCTAGACAGAACCAAAAAGTTTTGTTATCACTCTAAAATTGGTTCGTTGAATAAACTGATCTCTTCAAACTTATCTATCATGCTCCCTGTTTTTGGATGCCCACGCCGCACAGGGCTTGAAATATTAATCGCCGTTATAGTCAAAACCCAAGTCGGCATTGCCGTAGCCAGTGGGTGTCGTCCCCCTCGTTCGCCGCCGTCTAGGGAGAATCTAAGACTTTGCCGGAATCAGGTGCATATGCTTCTTCAGTCATCTACTTCATATCTTCTTCCTGCATGATCTTCCTTCATCTTCTTCATCGCCATTTCTCCTCTTTAATGTTATGATCTTGAAAGTGATGCTTCGTTTTCAACCTATGACTATAAGCGAGATTAACCTGTCTATGTCCTGTATTTTTGGGTCAATTGCAGATTTTGCATTTGAAGATTTTGCCAATAAACTAGCTTATCAGTCTGTGGGAAGCTGTGTATGTTGCGTCAATTGAGCGAGATGCTCTGCCGTTGAATTTCACTTTGCGTTAATGGAACGAGCTTACTCTATTGGTCCTGTAGGTTTTTACGGCCATGATTCGGTTTTTGTTCGATTCTGTTAATGATGGTCTTAGGTTCTGTATGACGTGGCGTTCTGTAATATCTTGGATGACTTGAACGGCTGAGATGACAGACATATACAAGACAGTGATGCTTAGTTAATCTGGACATTATAGAGGAGGAGCGTCTGAACTGGGAAGCATCTGTGTACACTAGCTCGTTTGTACGTGCGTAAATAATGGGTCACTTTACCCAGATGTTAAACCCCCCCAAAACCCACAGTCCTAAAATTCTTCCCATCAATCCCTCTTTTCATCCACTCTATTCATTTTCTTCCTCCTCTCGAATCACTTTGAGGCCACACAAGTTTTTAACTTTGTCTGTCTCGGCGGTGATGCGAAGCCAGGATCAGTCTCAGCAGCATTTGTCTTTGGCTGAAGCCCTACTCAGTAGTAATCGCAAGGAAGAAGTTCTTGGCGACATCAAAAACTCCCTCTCAAACTGCCTCTCTGAAACTAACCTTCACTTGACAGTTCCTGATCTCAAGTCCAAAACTAGAGGCAAGGTAAACTTCTGCTGGAAAATGCATTTTCCTTATTTTGCTAGGAAAGTTGAAGTTATTGCTCTTTTTCGTCCAAAAGAGGTTTTCTTTTGGGAAGTTAAAGTTGGTTTTCTTTTCTTTTTATTGTTTCCTTGTATCTTGCGATTCTAAAATAGCTACATATATGTTGGTAGGTTAGAGATATTTATGACAGTGGAGATTATCTTGTTCTGGTGACAACTGATCGGCAGAGTGCGTTTGACAGGATTCTTGCTTCTATACCTTTCAAAGGCCAGGTTTGATATATGTGATGTTCATTTTTATGCTAAAGGGATGCTGTATGAGAAATCCTACTTAATTGGTAGTGAATGGAAATGCTTGTGACTTAAAAAAAAAAAATGCTGGAATTTATTCTACCCAATAGACAGATAATTGTCAAAACCAGCTAGTCTTTGGTGTTCCTTAACAATTTGAGTTGTTCGTCTTCCAATTGTCAGGTTCTTAACGAGACAAGTCTGTGGTGGTTTGAAAAAACTATGCACATAACTTCCAATGCTGTTGTATCAGCTCCTGATAAAAATGTTACAATTGCAAGAAAATGTTCGGTGTTCCCTGTTGAATTTGTTGGTGAGTGATATGCATGTTGTGCCGACCCCACCTAGTGGGATAAAGGCTTGTTGTTGTTGTTGTTGTTGTTGTTGTTGATATGCATGTTGTGCTCCTTTATTTATTTATTTTTTTTGGGTTAGTCACCTTGTTTTACATGTTTTCATTATTTAAATATTCTGAGATGTGAGATGGGGGTTCAAGTAGCCCCTGATTTAGAACAATGTTGCTGTTTTGCAGTTAGAGGATATGTGACTGGAAGTACAGATACATCTTTATGGACAGTCTACAATAAAGGCATTCGAGAATATTGTGGCAATGTTCTTCCAGATGGTGGATTTTCTTTCAATTGTTTTCTTTTGGGTTTCTTTTTGGAGTTTTACTGTTTAATTTATAGGCTATGTAACACATTACAGGAATGGCTAAAAATCAAAAGCTGTCTGAAAATATAATCACTCCAACAACCAAGGCTGCAGATCATGATGTTCCTATCACTCCTGATGAGGTATGGTGACTGTATTATGATCCTTGGCTATCTTGTTGATTGTGATTGAATTAATATTAAGACATGAGCTTCATAGGCAAAAGAGAAGGATAGAGAGAGCAGGACTGAGGTTATGCAGGCAAGGTAGACAATGTTTGGGAATTTATGAATCTCCTTTCCATTTGGACGGTAAATCTAACTTAAAATGAATTAATGATATAGGATACGGGCTATTTTGCTGATATTGTCTTGGATTAGGTATTGGCGCAGTCCTTAATCTAGTTTTCCTTTTAGGATGAGTTTTTACAACATTTGTGATATCATAAGGCCTTAACAAATGTTAGCCAAGACTAGTTATAATTAAGCTAAGATGTGCTTAACAGAATAGACAAATTTCTTTATGTAGAAACCTTTACAATGACTCTAGAGTTAAGGCTTTGTTAGAGGTGGATCGATTTTGGAAGGAGGAAGGAGGGAGGAGGGGAAGCCTGATCTAAAATCAAAAGATGATTATGCACTTGCTACTGGATTAACCATTCAATTCATTTTCTTTGTGAAGTTTAAACGATTGACAAAGATTGCCATATGAAGCTGCAAATTCAAATAAGATTTTATTTTAGACTTTGGAGCATGGAGTTTTGTCACATCATATCATGAGAATTTTATCTTAAAAACTTATTGAATGATATAAGATTAGCTTAACTATTCTAGCTGGCCTCCATAGATTATATAACTCTGCACAATTAATTTCAAATTCGGTTTGGATAGTTAACATAGTAATCCCTTGTGATTCCATGGCTTAATTGGTGAATTAATGTTCTAAAAGAAGTTATTTAATGGTGAAATGTAAGGGTGTTCACTGGTTTGGTTTGGTTTTGAGAAAAAATTAGGCTGAACCAAGCCAATCAATTCACTATAGTCTAAGACCTATTCGGTTTTCTTATCTGATCAGTTTGGTTTAGTTTGGTTTAGATCTGGATCAAGTTTGAACTTCTTTAATAAGATATTCTTTTTAATTACTAATATATATTCATATGCACTAATAATTGTTAACTATTAATTATTATTTGCAATGAAAAAATCTCTTGAGCACAAAAGAATTTTTTTAACAATTAATTAGCATATTTAACTATTAAAAATCGATATATTGTCCTTAAAACACTTGATTATGAAATTAAAAAATTATCTTAAAAAATTATAAATAACATTTAGCTAATTGTAACTTATTTTCACTAATGATTTATAAATAACTAAACTTGCAAAAGGGAAAAAAAACTTTGACAAATTTATAAAAATATACATAATAAATATAATAAGACTTGGTTTGGTTTGGTTCAAGTTTTCAGAAGCAAAAACTTAAACTAAACCGAACCAATCGGTTTTGCTAAAGGAAAAACCAAACCAAACCCCATTTACAATCGGTTTTGATCTGCTTATGTTGGTTTGGCTCAGTTTGGATTGGTTTTGAACACATTTGGTGAAATGGTTATAAATATGATAAACATCAAACAAACCCTGTCCACAGATTTTGACTGTTTTTAACGAAATTCCAACAACTGGATAACATCTTTCAATATTCTCATCCTTTTTTTATGATGCATTTCCCTTGCAGATTATTAAAAGTGGACTCATGACCCAAGCTGATTACCAAGAAGTAAGCAAGAAAGTATTGAGTTTGTTCGAGTATGGTCAGGTAATGATGCTTTGCTAGCTTTATATCAGCTGTGCTGGGCAAATGGAAGTACTGAAGTTCCTTCTTATTATGATGTGTTCTATGAATAAAAGTGGAATTCAAGGTGTTTATAGATGTCAATTTAGATAGTCATTTGTGCCTCAAAAAGGAAAAGTAGTACAGAGAAAATGATTTGATTTGCCAATGTTGTCCGCATTTTGACATGTGGCAATTAGGTGCTGCTCTTTTGTTCCAATATCATATATGGTGTGTGAGGATAATAATATAATGTTAAATTTCTTGTATTCTCTTTCAAATTTTGCCATTTTGTTTAAGCTCTTTGTTGTGTTATTCTTTCAAGGGAAAAATGTTAATGCCTCCTTTAACTACAAATGCTCATCTCAAATTTCAAAGCTAGAAAATACCCCTTAAGCTAACACCATTTCAGATTTAGATCATTTTATCCCATTCCTACTGACATTGTTGATTGATATGCTAGTTTTGACTTTTTCATTTATCATGTGGTATGCTTCCCTTGGCGTATGATGATATCCCATCACAAATATTACATTTTCATAATAAATCATTCTAGACACTTTAAAAACCATACGAATAATACATTCTCTATTTAAAAGCTAGAGCGAGCTTTCAAATTGAGGAACTCAAGTTACAAAGTAGTTGGAACTTGTTAGTAGATAATCAAAATAGTTGAAAGTTGTACCCTGAGTCAATGTTGCTAATCAAAAACTAGATAGAAGGATCCAAATTCTAAAGGGCAATGGTTTAATGGATATTTTCTCTTTTAGAAGTTGAGGGGGTCTTTTCAAATAACCAAAGCTGGATGCTTTTGCATTTCCCTTCCTTTTTTATCATGGGAAAACTTTGGCAGCTTTCTTTCTTCCACAAAAATTAACATTTCAGGCAATATTATTTGTATTCCATATTTTTAATGCAAATCCATGACTGCTTATCTTTTAGCGTGAATGAAAACATTAATCCAACAAAAAGGGGTGGTGTCATTTACCAACAAGGCGCTCAAACTTTTATCAACATTTGAAGCACATGGGGTGTCGGGATTTATCTATTCTTGAAAAATGTAGAATATATGTAATTTTGTATTGATGTATGTTGAATGTGTGTGTCTCTGATGGAACCCTCTATTCTAATAAGCTTTAAACAAGCATAAACCAGAAACTACACCACAAATGGGACTGAAAATTACTAATACCGAATAGCAAAGTTGGATTACAGCGAAATAAGGAACTGAAAATTACAACGTACTGAAACAGAAACAGCACAGAATACACTCCACCAAACAACAATCACGAAATATAAGTCACTCACTTACATACACACACTAAACAGAAGATAAAATGATGAAGAAAGATGACTTCCTCCACCCCCAACCTGGCATTCGAGAGGCCAGAGCTCTCCTTACCACTCTCAATATTCAAAATAATCTCCCCCTCTCTCTAGGCAAAGAGGAAGATTTAAAGACCTAAAAAGTGACTCTAGCACAGCCCTTACCCCTAGAAGACCCTTAACCATCACTAGGACTCTAGCACATCACTAGGCCATCAATTACTTTCTTTTTTCCCCTCATAACTAGGATCCGAAGGGCAAACATCTGAACCAACAATAATGTTATCTTTTAACCTCTTGCCTTCCTTGATTTTCTCTTATAGGTCTTAGTAAAATCATGAGCTCTATCAGTCTCACTTAAATTTAATTTCTTAGATGACATTAACAGCTGCCAGGAAATTTGCATAGCATATTCATAGAGGGGATGTGTGATCATGGATGTTAAGGAATTAACTAAAGCTTGTTCATTCCATATCACAATCAACTTATTAAGTAAGTTTCTTTGTTCTACATGATAAAAGTCTTATGGCCAAGCATATTCATTCTGCATAACAATACAAAGTAACCTTGCCCAGCCAACATTCGGTCAAATCACTCCTAATGCGTTATTAATTTCCAGAAGAGGCTATATTTGCAATCAAACTCTAGGAATACCAAACTTATCACTGCCATTAGCATTATAAGTTGAAAGAGGTGGTCTGCTGACATGTTTGCAAATTGCTGCATTTCTGACCTCTACCCTTTCCATTTATTTAATTTCTCCTGCTGCATAAATTCCACTTTTCATATGATAAAGTAACAAATTTGTATATATTATCTTTGACCAAGTGACAACTGCTTGATTAGTGTGAATTAATCATTGGTTGTCCTCTCTTAAGTATGTGAGTTCTTCATCAATTATTGAAACTTGGGCAAGTATTCACTATATATATACATATATATCAATTTCTTTCTGCCCCTTTTTATTCCTGTTTACTTTATTTGCTTTACTTTGCAGCGTGTGGCTTTGGAACATGGCCTCATATTGGTGGACACAAAGTATGAATTTGGGAAGGCAAATGATGGTTCAATTCTTCTGATTGATGAGGTTTAATTCTGTCCTCAAACACATTGAATGTTATCATGCTTTCACACTTTGGTTTATCAATAGCTGATAAAATAGTTTAATTTGCATCTCTAGGTGCATACTCCTGACTCAAGTAGATATTGGATTGCAAATTCTTACATGGAACGCTTTCAAAATGGTCTTGAGCCTGAAAATGTTGATAAGGTACTTTATGTTTCATTATTGTTGCTTGTTTTCTCTGGTTCACTGCCTCATGCTTTTGTAATTGATTTTAAGCTTTGGTGAATATATCAGCTAAGGTCTTCTCCTGATACCTTTGGTCTATATGGATGAGTTACATGTAGGAAGCAATTTTTTGATGTTCAAAAAAAAATTGTGTAGGAATTTTTAAGATTGTGGTTCAAAAGTCACTGCAACCCCTATGAAGATGAGGTAATTTATGTTGTCTAGTGATTTTCAATCAGAATATAGACTTTAAACATTCAATCAAATCTTACTGTTGGTGGATTTTTTCTTTAGGTCCTTCCTGATGCACCCGAGGAACTTGTTTGTGAACTGGCTTGGCGGTATGTGCTGTGCTTATTTCTTTTACACTGGCTATATCTTGTTTTGAGAAATAAAATTTGAAAAAAAAAAATCCTGATACATGTTTTCTTCTCTTTTGGATAATTGAATTGATAATTTCCAAGGTTCTGAACTGGACTGGATTGGTCAGTTCGACCAAGAACTGGCCATGCAGCCAATCCAGAACTCAATTAGAACTAGAGGAAGTGAGAACCGATCAGTGAACTGGTTGAATCGGTCACTCATTTTTGTATTCTTAAAAAAATTAATTAACGTTTTTAAGTTATAGTTTATGCATTTTTGTACTTAATGAGCACTGAGAAATAAAGAATGATGGGCAAATAGGCCAGAAATATGAAATATATTTTAAAATGACAAATTATAAAATAAATATCTACATTTTCAACAAATACTATGAAGTATTAATGGATATTCCTTATTTTTACGAAGTATTACTCCCTCTGTTAAAAAATGTAAAAAATGTAAGGCATTTTTAATTGAATCTCACCTTCTAATGAAGTAATTACTTATTTTTCAACTAACCCTATTTTTTCATATTTACCTTTATTAAACACCTTACAATAAATATAAAATCATTATTAATATAAGCACTTTTGAAAAAAAAAATAATAATTACATTTCGAAAGATTAAAAATACTTTACAATTTTGAACATTCAACTTTTCAAAAAATACTTTACATTTTTGAACGGAAGGAGTATTTTATTTGAATTTAATGATTTTTTTTAATGATTATGGATAATTGTTTCTTTATGATTTTAGAACTATATTGTTCAAAATATATTAACTTATTAATAAACCGATTTGGTCATGACTTAACCATTGATCGTTGCCTCAACCAGTTCATGACAGGTTCAGTTTTCATGACATTGAAAATTTCTGGTGTTAAATACAAATATACTGTGAATGTTTATTCTATTTGTATAATCAGGCATGTAATTTTGTGACAGATACATATTCTTGTACGAGACAATAACACATTCAAAATTCGATGTTTCTTCATCAGAGGTAATCCATAAACCGATGTTTTTTAAGTACATGTTATAGCATGAGATTGATGGGGGCATGTAACTTGAATTTTTCCATGCAGGAACCAATACACGATCGCATTTCTCGAAACGTTGCATCTGCACTATCTTCTCTGAAGTAGTAGTAGCTCTGGATTTTACGGTTGTGCCCTCCTGCAGCTTTGTAATTTAAGGGCCTTTTTCTAACAAAGTCTTGCTTTTCGTAAGAAAAGAAATAATGTTATTTAATAAATAATACAATTAATGATCTTATAATTTAGTGACATGAAAATTTCTTACAAATGGGGGGCTGCAAGCTCAATATTATTTGTAACTGTAACCATTGGTGCATGCCTTTTTAAATGAAGCCAAAAAAAAAAAAAAAAAAACCCCAATACCGGCACCTTTGAAATTACTGAGAAGTTATTGGCAAGATAAATGTTCAAACGCAAAGGATCGATTCTCTCAAATTGACACCCCTCGTCTATTTTTTTTTTTAATTTGGATAAAAGGATTAAATATATATCAAGACATAATTAAATCCATCAATTACAACTTGTTAAAGTATTAATTTTATTTGTAAAATCTTTACTTGTTAATTTCTTTATGTTATTTGTAAAGTTCATAATATTATTAGTATATTAATTTACTTGTGTTAAATTCATCCATTATAATTCATTAAAATATTAACTCATAAAATTGGAAATGTTATTTGTTAATTTCTGTGTTACTTAGTTGTGTTTAAATATTAGGGCATTTTGATTATTCCATACTGAAAGTTGTTTTTTTTTTTTGTCAATTTAATCCTCCAAATTTGCTGTGTGTTTTTAGATATTTTTAAGCGAGGTTCGAAAATAATTAGTTATTATGGTTTTTAAATGAAATTCTGCCCTATATTAATATGCAATCTAATGAGATCTAACCATGCTTAAATATGTATTGAATATTAAATATTTACATAAAAATATATAATAAAAGTAATTAAGTATTGAGAAATACAACATTATTGCACCATAAAAATATATTTATATTTTGCTTTTTTTATTTTAATTTATAAGATGCTTTTAAAGGAAATTTGATAATTCAAAATTTAAGATATTTTGATAAAAATAATACTATTTAATAATGCCTTTTTAATATTATATTTTTAATTTTTTTTAATATTCTTTTATAAATTAAATGAAAGATGTTTTAAAAATTTATATATATTTTTTTAAAAAGTGAAGTTATAAAATGATTTTAATGAATACTACAATTTTTCATCGTTTTCTCTCCCTCTCTGTTTTTTCCCCTCACTTTTTTCTTTTTTTTTGGGCAAGAATTTTTCATTCGTTTCCCCGAATTTGGCATTTGACGTCGAAGCTTCAGGTCCATGAAACGATACTGCAAATCAGTTTGAAATTTCATCTGAACTGCAGAAACTCATATTGGCGATTGGCAAGAGCTATAGTCAGAAATGAGCGTCGTTGTTCATGCTAGTCTCGTTCTTCTCATCTTCTTCTCAGTAGTTTCGTCTTCTGCTACTACCACTGGCAATGAAGAAGAACAAACCAAGAGAGTCATTTGGGCCAATGGAGGCCCTGATTCTGTGGTTTGGGTGGTTCAGCTCTCCGATCTTCATTTCAGCGTCCACCAACCTGATAGAGCTCTCGATTTTCGCAGATTCATTGGTCCTGCTCTTTCCATGATCAATCCTTCACTCGTCCTCATCACCGGCGATCTCACAGGTTGTTTTTGTTAATTTGAATTTGAATTTTCAGATGTTTATTTGTTTGTAAAATGAGCTTCGTGTTAAATTTTTATTTATGGTTGGGGTAAGTAAGAATTAGGATTTGAAGAAGTTTATGTATTTGCGTGTCGGTGTTTAAATGAAGTTGTGAGTGTGTTATGGCTGTTTGTATCCCCCCCCCCCTGCAGATGGCAAAAGCAAGGATTTGCTAACTATGAAGCAAAATGAGGATGAATGGAAAGAATATCACAATGTAACGGAAGATGTTATCAAAAGGAGTGGACTCAATAAGGAAGTTTTCTTTGACCTTAGAGGCAATCATGATAATTTCGGTGTCCCAGTTGTTGGTGGTTCATTTGATTTCTTTTCCAAATACAGCATCAATGGGCAGCTAGGCCGAAGTGGGAGAATCAGTAGTGTCACTGTTGAGGTTAGCGATCCACTTAGTCTTCATTCTGAGAAATTCGCTAGTTCCTAACAAACCACAAAATTGTGTGACATCGTAAAATAGAAACTTTGGTGGATTGTGTAGAATTATATGCCGATACAATTGAGTGACTGTCATTCATTTTCATATCAAGATTTATTCTATTTTTGACGTGAAGAATGTTAACTTCAAAATATATTATAGTAACATAGTACGCCATGCCTATAACTATCCAATCTGCTATTTGGAATTCAAAAAGTTTTATGTTAGTCAATGCTCATCTTGCATTTACATACTAAGGCATCAAATCATTCTGACATTAAAATTGGAGTAACAAGGGGAAAAAAAATCTTAATCCTGGAAGATTCTTCTGGAAAAAACTCAGCTTGAATTCCTTTTTGTTTGGACTAGACAACTGGGAGTTCACAAGTTGTACGTCTATAAGCTGATATGTTATATTGTTTGATAATATGAAGCTTTTTCTTACTCATGTACGCATACCTGTGTACCATCATACAGACTCTGGAGCGGAGACATCTCTTTGTTGGGTTTGACAGCACTATGTTGGTTGGTTTACGAGGTCCAACTAATCTTTTTGGGCATCCCACTGACGAATTGCTGAATGATCTAGATTTGCAACTCTCACAATGGAATTCTCGGAGTCAGTCAGAAAAACCGGTTTCCAAGATATCCTTTGGGCATTTTCCACTTTCATTCTCTTCACCCTCACGTTCTGGAAGGACCTTGGAAGATCTTTTCCTTAATCATTCAATATCAGCTTACCTGTGCGGGCATCTCCATACTGGGTTTGGTAGGAATTTAAAGCGACACCATCAGTTGAGCCATCATTTTTCATCCTTCCAGAAGTTTTTTCAGTTTAACATGCACCAAATGTCGTTTGAAAGTAATGTGAATTGTTCAATTGAGGCACCACCAGTCCAAGAATTTTGGGAGTGGGAGACGGGGGATTGGAGAAAGAGTAGAGTCATGCGAATTTTGTCCATTGATAAAGGCCATATATCATTTGTTGATGTTGATTTCAAGGCAGGGGCCAAAAAGACAATCATATTGCCCACTTTTCCTTTAGATTCACGCATCATGTTGACATCTCTGTCCCATCACAAGTATGAATGTCAATCTGTCACCCCTTCATCTTTTGAGTCAATAAGAGCTCTGGTATTTTCCATTTCTCCAATTATTTCGGTTGTGGCTAGGGTCTATGACTCTAGATATGGAAATCTTGATTTAGTTTTGGAAGCAGTTATGATCAGGCATACTGATGAGACCTCCAGGGGAAATCTCTATGTTGCTCCATGGAATTACCAAGCCTTTGAGGATGCATCTCCTAATAGATATTGGCTTAAAATTGAAGCAACTGATATCATGAACAGATCAACTTTGACTGAATTGAGGCCATTTTCTATTAATGGTCATAGTGTCAAGCTTTCTTGGAGCTGGAAGGAATTTTTTGTCATGGGTTGTCAATGGGCTGCCTTGTATTGCCCAATGTTCTGGTCTTCTTACATTCTCCTATTCTTTCTGCTTCTTCTTCCAACCACTCTACTTATTTTTCAAAAGAAGCTTTACACTCACAAGAACTTCATTGGAAATAAAGGCCTCGTGAATGGTATATTATTGGTTCTTCAAGAGCTCAGGAGGGTTCGCACATTATGGTTTGGTTTGATAGGATACTTATTTTATCTCATATTATTCCCCTGGTTTATTGGTCAAGTCTTTACTGAAGGGAACAACAGGGGATACATGACCTATATGGGTTGGGTTGTGAAGAAGCCCAATGGAATGTGGAGTCATGAATATATTGGATCTCCAGATGTCATGGTGATTGTTTTTCCCCATCTGTTTTTTGTGCTATTGCCTGCAATTCTAGTCTCTGCTGCTCTGACTGCAGAGAGAGGGATTTATCGGGAACGTATGCTATCCCATTCAGGGAAGAAAGTGGATGATCATGATCCTAAGATTCAAAAAGCTGTGTCGTTTGATGCACAGAGAAGCAGACTTTCTAATTTCTGTTTAGGCAAGCGACCAGTTCGGAGGATTCTGTGTTTGGTGTGTTTGGCAATATGTTGGAAGCATTTTATGGTAAGGCTTTTTAAACAAATATTTTGCATTGCAATGCGTAAAGGAGTACATCATAGTTCATAGAATATTACCCAGGAGCCAAAAGATAAACTAGTAAAAAGTGTTTTTCATTAAAATAGAGAAATGAACAACCTTCAAACACGAATCATACTTGCATCAATATATAATTAAGTTCCATAAACAAGATTGTAATGTTTGGATACCTGCATTTTCGGTCTACAAAATGAGCTAGAATCATTAGGAATTAGAGTGAGGATCAATATCAGTATTTCATGCAATTTTGGTTGATGCTTCATTCCAAGTAGCAGCAGCAATTTGATCCTTTGACATGAAACGCGTCAATTTAATTGGTGTCATTGGAGCTACTAGTTCATTGGTTTTTTCCACTTGGTTTTGTTCGATCAATTTCTTCATTGTTCCTCTGCAGAATTGCAGAAGTCTGATGAAAGCCTATGAGATGAACCCAATTCTCCATTTCCTGGGTTATGGTTTCTCAATTCCCATCTTCTTGGCATGTGCTGTCCATGGAAACAGAGGCATCCAATGAAACTTGTTCAAAAGGTTCGCAGTTATTCAAGTGGACCAAACTTTGCATATTTAAACTGTGGCTTATGACTTCAGGGGATAAACTCGTGCGATTGATTTTAGATAATTGGAAGTGATCCATGTGGCTGAGGGCTGTACACTTTTCTTAGTTCAGCTGCTGCAATATCAAGTATTCTTTCGGTGCAGTTCGCAGTTATTGTGGATTTGCACAAATCGATGTCTTTCAAGCATGCATTGTCAAGACTGAATCTGAAACAGCTCATGGGTACATCTCTTGGACTAAAAATAGGTACAAGAAACCAATAGAAACTAGGTAAATGGGTTTGCTACCAAACCTTTTCGTTATTTCAACTTTATTAATAGGGTTGAAGGGTGGTTATTTGCAATTGATCCCCAAATGTCTTGCAATATCTATTTATACCATACAACCCTCCACTGTGAGGACTTAATCTCAAGCAGTTCATAGATGAACTCATTGCACAAATATAAACTACTCTAGTCTTATTCATAAGTTATCTCTAATATATTTTTATCAAAACTAAAGAAAATTTTAAAAGTCATTAACTTAGCCTAAAAATTTAATAAGTTTCCAACTTTACCCTTATTAAA